TATAAAAAAGTTATTTTTGCCCAAAGTGTTTCGGCAATTTCAGCTACTAATTGAAAGAGTTTCGGCCGGAAACCTTAACTGCCACCGCTACAACAACACCCAATGATAGATTGTCAAAGCATATTTTTCACCGTGGTTCTAACCTTATTAGACGCAATGATTTTTAATAACTGAAATTTTAACATAACAAAACACAGTCTACACTGTCTATAACGGATTTTTCTCTATAATAATACCGGATTGAACGTTTGGTCCCGATTTTTTACTATTTGAAATCTCTTTCTAAAACGGATATTATTAATTAAACATTTTATTACGTATAACGGATTGTATCTGAAAATCACTTCATATGACTTACATATAAATCAACAATGTCTATACCGGATTCACGTGATCTGAAATAACATCCAGATCTTCCAAATATAAATTATAATTAATATTACCCGTAGTACGCGTTTGTTGATCAAATAAAATTTCTTATTCTTCTTTTTTTAAAATGTATAAACAAAGCAACAATAAAAGAAGAAAAGAAACTGGTCATGATGAATGTTTTAGTAAGTGTTTATCAAAAGAATGGTGGTGGTGGCTATTGTCACTTGTTGTCACTCCAGTTATTTAAAAAGAAAGATTGGTTATGAAGGCGAATGTGGTATAATATATTGTTGGACAAAAAAAATTGTAAAGTAATTGCAGAATACTTAAAATTCATGGAATTTCTGCTAAGCATTATCATGCAGATTTAAGAAAAAAAACAGAATAAATATCCAAAAAGAGTGGCAATTTGGAACCATACATGTTGTTGCAACAACGCCTTTGGAATGGGTAAATATTTATGAGTTTATAAATTTATTAATATCAATCACATTAATTTTTTTTGGCATTTGATAATTTTTATTTAAAGGAATTGATAAACCCAAATGTACATTTTGTCATTCATTTTTTATGCCACAATCCATTGAAGACTATTATCAAGAAACAGGGAGGGCAGGAAGGGTTAGAAAACATGCTACATGCACTCTTTTTTATTCATCTAGTGATTATAACTAAAGAAGAAAAAGTATTATGAATGAAGATACAAGTCAAAAAGATTGAAAATTTTCAAATTTGCTTGCAATGAAAAACTATTGTGAATACATTGAAGAATGTTGTAAAAAACAAATATTGAGATATTTTGGAGATAACTTCAGCTTGTCAAAATGTGAAAATTGTTATGATAATTGTTATGACCACAAAGAAATCAAAATTTTGGATGACTGACTTGAAATTAGTAAGCAACCTTCTGATAAAAGTAATAAAAGGCATAATGAAGAACAATGGTGTGAGTTTGAGTTGCAAATCAAAAAATAAAAGAACATATAAAAAAAATTAATTCTAAAAGAAATTGATGATGATCCAAGCATTAAAACAATAAGATCATAGATAATCAATATTATTTAATTAGATGATTTAAGTTTTTTTTTACCTATATACTCTCATTGGTGATAACCTTTTCTGGTGGATTTTTTAAAGATTTGTTATTTTTAATATTTGCAAAATTTTTTATGTTTAAAACTTTATTAGCAAAAAAATCATTTTTTTTTCAATTAACTGTATAATATTTGTTATTCAAAGTTGCCAAACATACTTTGGTATTAAGATATGACAATAAATCATAAGCAGTCTATTATAAAAACCATAAAATTTATATATCTGATAGGTAAAGGATTGGCAAAGCATAATTAAAAATCTATTTTAAAAGCAAATAATCTTTTTTTATAAGTGTAAAGATAAAGATGCTAAATAATATTGATCTCCAAATATGATGTGTAAGTATGACTTTGAAATAGTGATTTGAAAAAAAAAGAACTTCTGTCGATCACAATTAGATTTAATGTCACGCGCACAGCATCAGTGTGCTGGGGCAGACGTAAAGTTGACATATTAATATATATTAGTAAGCGCCATTATGTCATCTTATTAATCTATTTATATTATTTTTTTTTTTAATCTAACAAATTAGATGAATAAAGAAGCCATAATATTCTTTATTAAAAAATAGATACGGAAATTTTTTAATTAAATTAGTTAAAAAATATTTAATATTGTATCACAAAATCTCTCATAATGATTTTCAAATTATACATTCAACTTTCATTTTTCAAATAACATAATTAATATTTCATCAAATTATTAGCGAAACTAGCAGCTTCAAGGAGCGTTTCTGCTCGTTATAGTATAATGTCTATTTCAATATCAGAAGCAGAAATAAATACACGGTCTTCATCTGCACCATCAGACGAAATGTCTAATTCAATTATTCCTTTAACTACAACTAATGTTGAAGATGAAATGCATAGAGCAGCAATCAAAATTTTACAACAATCAATAGATCTTTTAATAAATTTATCTAATGACGAGAATTTTTACATTTATCAGAGTAAATTTATACCACAAAGTTCTATTGGAAAACATATCAGGCAAGTAATTTCAACAATTAATCAAAGATGCATTAATTACTTGATAAATATTGCAATTAATATAAATATTTTATATCTAGACATATATGTGATCATTTTAGATCATTGATTGAATCAAAATCGCTGATAGAGAAAAGAATATCAGAGAAAAATAAAGAATATAACAATTATAATCATCCATTAGATAATTATGAAAAAAAAGGTTTAAATTGGATTGTAGATTATGATAATAGAGTGGCAAATGTATGTAGTAATATACATTTATGTGTGTGCATTTATACTTGTGTATATTTGTATGTGTAAACTAACACACATATATACTTCAATCAAAATTAGGAAGAAATAGAAACATCATGTTTGAAAGCAGTAAAACTCATCAGACAATTACAATCTGTTTTGATAAATGATTCTTCAGTTATTACCTTACCTTTTCCAACGAGAGTTGATTCAATAATTGATTCTGATTTATCAGTGAATTCAATACAACTAAATTCTACATACGGTAGAGAATTATGGTTTTGTTGCCATCATGCAGTAAATAAACAAACAAATAATTATATTCTTTTTTTTATTTTTTTTTTTAAAAATCTTTTTTTTTTGTTAATAAATATTTTTGAATTTATTAGATCCACCATTATGCTTTGATAAAGGTGATATGTATAGAATTAAACATCCAGTGTCCAAAAAATTTTGGTGTTGCACCTTCAACTCTTAGAAGATGTCATTAAACAAGGAATAACAATTTATATTTATGTTTATATTATAAAAAAATAAACAATTTTCATATTTATTATAATAGTAATATGTAACACCAATAATCTGCCTACACAAGTCAAAAATTTTCTTTTTTCATATCTAAATTTTATTACTATTACCATAAAAATTATATTAAAACATTGAAAAAATTTTTATTAGGAAAAATAATCAGTGAATAGTTGATTATTATCGTTGCGGGGCTTGATTTTTATTCTCATGGATATATAGTCTTCCAATTAATTACCTTCTTCGTTCGAGTGCAATTTGCGTTGTTCTTCCACTGCCCAAATTTTTTCATTTTTATCCCTTGAACTGAAATGGTAACATTACGTGTTAAAAATATTTTGATTTTCCTTTAATAATTGTTGTCCAAACTGCCATAAACTACGTAAAAACTTTTGATATAGAGATTTTTGTGCGATCATATTTTTTTTTTGAAACTTGTTGATTGTATATATTTTGTCATTAAACAATGATAATTTTTGTCCAAAACCAGCCCACTTATTAATGACACGGAAACCTTTAGTAAATATAAAAGACAAAATAAGCAGTACCTCGTGGAAATCTATTATTATAGGGTGATAATAAATATATATAACAATAAAATATATTATTCACGAAACAATATTAACGAAATTAAAAACTCTTATACATTACTAAAAATAGTAAAGATTATCTCTCAAGATTTACAAATCATGTGAACCAACTTATCGAGACTATCTGGCTGGAGAAGTTGTCCAACTAGTATTAACAAGAGTTTATATGTTTTCCAACTCATACTTTTACAATGCTCAAATGCATCCTTTTTATTTACTTGTGACCGATTTATTTCAGACTTTTACCCTTGTTTGTTTATTGGCCGTAACCTGACTAAAGCAAATGAAATGTAGCCCATTGCCGTTGCTGGATTAATTTTTGTAGATTGTTTCTATTCATCTATTATTCAGTTGATCTATCAGTAAAAATTTTCAATATTCGATTAATCGGATAATCGGTGAATAATCAGCGAATGTTACTCGACAGATACAACCTCTAAAAATAAAATGGTGCGATGTTTTTTTGCCTTCCTTGTCTTATTTGAATGATTATGACATAAATGATGGCGAAATAGGTTTATTTTAAAAATAATCGGATCTTAAACATTTCGAATTCAAACTTAAACTTTTGACTAAAATTGCAGATCGTCTCAAAAGTTCACATTAAGATTTAATTTGTTAGTTTTATAATAAACAAATAAATATATACGAAAGGATGACTGTTTTCTTTCCAATGTAATAGTCTGAAATGGAGGTCAAGGGTGCTTTATTATAATTTTTTCAATTTCACCTTATTGCAAAAGTCCAGATACAAAAGAGTGTTTCTAAATATTCATCAGGATGAGTCAGTTTAAATAAGAGAGCATAGATGTCTAATATAGATTGTATCAGGTTATTTAATAAATCTAGCATTAATCTATATTCTAGGTCAATATATGTGAAATTTTCTTCCACCCTTTATTTACAATAGAAGGTTGATCTCCCAAGATTTGGGTTTTTTGCTAGAATTTTTTTGGGCGCAAAAATATAATGAATAATTTATTATAACATGTCCTCTTGAATCCAAGGACACATGTAGTGGTACTGTTAATGGAGCAAAGTTTTTTGATTATCAAGGTTGCTTTGCATTTCCTGTTGTTGAATTTTTAGTTATTGCTTTTCTGATAAATATTGACCTGGCCAGCCATCAGAAACAGGTATTATATTATTTTTCAATATTCTGAAACACTTTTTATTTAAAAGAGCTTGAACATAATCATCCAAAGAATGTGGGTTCCTTTCTTGTACCTCAACAGCACAAACACATTTCATAGATTGAAACATCATAAAAATGAACAACAAGAAGACCAATTCATTAAAACTTTGTGGATTTTCTGTAATCCATTTTGCTTTACACATATTATAACTAATGTCAAACACAATTAATAAAGGAAAGCAGAAAAGAAAACAAAATAGCTTTATAAAGAAGAAATAGAACCCTATAAAAAATTTGGCATGGAAATGTATGGGAAAATGCATGGAATTTGTATGGAAAAATGCGAATTTCAGGTAAAATTCCGTACAGTTTTCCGTACATATTCCCATACTAATACATATTCCCATACATTTCCGTACCATTTTTTTATAGGGGAAAAGAACACTTTCAGTTATAATTTTTTAAGGTTTGCTTTTTTAACAATATTAACAATGGATTAGTATTTTACTCAGATTTTATGTCACTTGATTTGATACGTCTAACATAAAATTTCATTTAAAAGAAAATCATTACCAAATTTGGTCACGAGATTCAAAATATTGTAACGCGAAAATTATTATTGCGTTTCTGAGCATAACTTTCAAATTTAAAAAATCTATGAAAAGAAAATTCGAGACAAATTTTTTTTAGATTAATAGATTCCCTTTTTAAGCTGAATTGAATGGTGTTGGGGTTTTTAAAAATCCAATGTGTGGATCACATAATATTTCAAAAATTTTAATTTTTGAGTATAGATGATCCACACTTTATTCAACGTAATTTCTCCCATCATCATTAAGTCCTGGGAAATAATTTTCAGGAGAGTTAAAATAATTTCTTTATTGTTTCTAAATAAAATTTGTTTTCTATTGTTTATAATTTTATTAAGGAATAACAGTTCAAATAAATTGATTTCTTGTAGTGGGCAAGAAATTAGATTGCAGACAGCAAAGACAAATTGTTAATATTAAACTATTCAAAACTTGACCATGTAATTTCTCTGTCAACATTAATTCCTGTGATTTATAGAATAGTTAAAATAATTTTCTTGTTATTTAAACAAAATCATTGAAATAACTGTCACTCACATGTTGCTGATCAACATAGCAGTCTATTAGTATCCTTTTGTAGATTCTTTAATGTTAGTATAGATTGCCTTTTTTTAGTTTAGAGGTGACGGTCATTTACGATCATTAATAGTATTTCTATTTTTTGGAAAGGGATTTTTTTGTTTTCATTTCAATATTATTAGTCTATACAATTACGAAAAATGGCGGATTTTAGGAGCCTTGATCTTCAATCGTAAATTGTCCACGGGAGGAAATATTTAATCGGTAATCATATTTCGTTTTAACTATCACTGGTGGAAAAGTTTTGATTCATGATTCATATAATGAATTGTTTATGATAATGAAATTTTATAATATCTCAATACTTTCACAAATCTTTTGCATTTTACATAAATTTTACAATCGTGACATCTATCAATTTACATTTACAATGAATGTCTTTACATGGTATTACTCGTTAGGTCTTAGTGTTAATTTTAATTTATTTATTGTTATTATAATCTAAAAAATAATCATAATACAGTCATACGAATCTATGAAACACATTTTTTGTTTATATATGCATATTACATAGGCAACCCCGTTAAACCGAAGGCAATCGTGTGAAAATGAAATTTGTGAATTTGCACATATTCAAATTAGCCAATCAGAATTTCATATCCAAACACTCCACCCCAAA